GTCAATGAAAAATGAGAAGGAAAAACATAAATAGAAAGGATGGTTACTATAACAATCCAAAGCTTGAAACTGAGTTTAAAGTATGCTATTTTAATGTCTTAACAGATATTAATTAGAATTCCCTCACCTTCTCGCGTTGGCCCTCGAAGGGAGCAACTCATTTTTCAAATATTTGATTAATTTGATAACTGTCACACTACTTTTATCGTTATTCAGCAGGATTTTCAGTTATTTTTGGATATTTTTGGAAGTAATATGTCACGTTCTAAAATTTTCTCATACAAAGTGATTATCGAGACATCGATATGTTTATCTTTGCATATAAACTTAGTTCTTTGCTAAATGGATAACATCACTATGTCAATGCACTTTTTTTATGCTTTGTTTCCAATTTTTCATTATTAATTCAATAATGCTTGAAGCCAAACGCCTGCATTTACCATTTTTCAACTTTTTTTTAACTTTAGTACTTAAAAAATCAAATATATATATATATATATATATATATAATTGAATGACTGAACTGATAAAAGATTTACAATCAACTAGTTGGTGCTACTTAATTAGCAAGTGGGCCTACTTTTTGCTAATTGGGTTTGATGAGTAATTTACCAGATTTTTCTTTGTATTTTAATTAATTTTTTTCCCAATTATGTTTGTTAAGTTTTTTTCTGGTAATTTTAATTATAAAAATTAAAAATTTTGCAGATAAAAAAAATAATCTATTGCAGAATTTTGTAAGCAAAAACTTGATTTTTGAAATGTGGCATCCCTTTGACTGAATTTACAGTGTGTTCTGTGATTTTTGTTAGTGCAATGCAATTTTTAATTAGTGAATTAACTAATTGTTAGTACAATCCAATGAATGCCAATTATATATATATATATCACTTTGTTCTTTTTATATCTATTTATTTATATCTAAGTTTTTCAATTTTTTTATTTATAAAACAACACTTTAATTTTTTTTTTTTTCCATAAATATTGGTTGTTATTATATCATATTGTATTAGATCATATATCATATTGTATTAGATCATATTCAATTCCAGCAAAACCAGTTAGATAATTTTTCTATAAACAGAAGAATTCCACATACTATAAGACTCTAAGGTATCTATATATCTATGTATCTCAACGTGTAATCAAAGCAAAATGTGGAAATAAAAGGATTTCCGGGAGAAATAATAGAATGTGAAATAATTACGAGATATCTTGAAATATCTTTTTGTCAATCAAAAAAATTTAGTTTATTATTTATTATTATATATTATAATATATATAATATATATATTAATATATATATATATATTATTTGGAATAATTTAATATATAAATAGATATATAATTTTAAATTTTTTGATTTTAGAGATTTTTCCTTAGTTTCTAAAATTTTATATTTTAAAGTTTTTAAAACTACATAACCATAGATATATATGAGTATTTTAAACAAATACCATACATAATCTATTAGACTTTCAAATTTTTAATTTCAAAGATCTTTTCGGCTAGATTTTTTTTAAAAAAATTTAAACTTTAAATCATTTTTTTTGGATATGTCACGCACGAAGCATAATAAATTTTAATATTTTTTAGTTCATAATAAATTTTAATATTTTTTAGTTCATCTATTAAATATTTTAAAATTTAATCTAATCATTTTTAATAAAAATTTGTCAGTTCATTGAATCTATTCCATTTAATGTGTTTATTTTAAATTATCCAAAAAAATTTTATTTAATCTATTTATACTATATATAAATGTGGAAATAGGGAAAATAATGATATTTTCGACAGTGTTTTTGGTGAAATTTAAAATATTCTGAAATAACTTATGATAGCCAATTAAAATAATTTTATCTTAAAAAATATTTATAATATCTAATGTAATTTTAAATATTTTTTATTAGGAGAGAGAAAAGGATAAGGAAAAATCTTTAAAAATATCTAATATTTGATTGTAATTTAAAATATTTTGACTAGAATTGATTTTTGAATTTTTTTTTATTTTTTTACAATTTGTATTTGATTTTTTTTACATTTATTTTTAAATATTATTTTTCTTTATATTTGTATAATTTGATTGGATATGTTTGGATATTGTTCTTATTACTTGACTTTAGTTTTTTTTTTTTTTTTTTTTTTTTTTTGTCATCCAAACTCATTTCATTTCAAATTTCATTAAATCATGGCTTTCCAATTGAAGAAGGGGCTGATTTTTAATATTCAAATTGGAGTAGTTTGTTTTCTTTAGTAAGAGATTTGTATCTTCTTGTAATAAAAAGATGGTCTCTTGATGATTAAATAATTTTAATTTTTTGAAATTTTTTCTCTTATATCTTAAATTTGTTTGATTCGAAGGAAAATAGTATTTAAAAAACTGGAAAAAAAATTAGAACTATATATTTCTATTTTTGATTACTTTTGAAGGTTTTAAGGATCCGTACATATGAATATGTTCATTTTTCTAATGCATAAGTATATAATACTGTTCATTATAGCGAAAGTAATTATTACTATTTATTTTGGCTCATGCTATTTTTTTAAACAATTCAAAGATCAGTTTCAAGGAATTTTTTTTATTTTTTTTTTTACCTTCTCATTATCAATATATATAGATATTTGATAAAGGGTTAGGGACAGAAGAATGAGGATTTGTAGTGGGATGGTTTGATTTATTTTTTAGATGGGTTTACAAAATCTACATAATTAGGAGCTGAAATTTATGTTTAGGGTTATGGTAATTAGTACTTTAAGACCATTTCATTATATAAATAAGATATAGAGACCAAAGATTACAAGTAGTTTTTGGGCAAAGCGTCAATATAAATGATGAATATTTTATCTGTAATGTAAATAAACATTTTATTTATTTTAATCTAAATAAAAAATTTATATTTTAATATTACATAAACAAAAAAATTAAACGAGTACAAATAATGAGTATAATAAACGTGTAATGCACGTCATAAAAAAAGACTAGTTGAATTAAATACCTAAACAATTTAAATTTAAATTTTGTATATAAATCTTACGACTTAAATTTATGAACCGACCAGTACTAAGATTTGGGAGGCTTAACTCCACCTAAATCCGCAACAAGCCTAAACAGTCGACGTTTTAGATAAACTGAGTCTCAAGCTCATCATGCCATAACTTTTACATTCATTTACTCAAATGTATCACGGGCTTGCGGTCCTCAATTAACTTTAAAATAAATCCATAACTAAACATAAGACTTCGCTAACTCGATAACATCTCATGTATTATTTTTAATGAAATCTATTATACAACTCACAACTTATTAATTAGCACGAGAACTCCATTAAGATTTATGATCTACATATTATGGAAAGAAATACTAGTATATAATCTAAAACAGATTATCCTTTTGCTTTGAAGAGAACTGATGATAGCAAGTAGGGTTGATGGAAGAAATGACCTAATTGATGACAGGAGTGGAGCGTTTCCTAATATAGCTGAATAGAGCATAGATAATCTCACTGGCAAGGAAGAAAAAGAGACCGTACTCTCCTCCTTTTCTTTCTATTGTGCAAAAGAAACGCGATGGATAGGAGAAAGAATCCCGACCAGTTAAAGGAGAGGTTGGGACGAGGGTCAAATAGTTGCTGTAGAATCCCGACGTAAAGGAGAGGTTGGACGAGGGTCAAAGTAGTTGCTTGTGGCCATTGATCGGCAGTGAGAGGCTGAGGCGGCACTGAGTTTTGTGAGGGAGGATGATTGATTTTTTTTTTTTTTTTTGTGGTTTAGTTTCAACTAGTTATTTCTAGATGGGTTCGGTTCGGTTTAGTAGTTTTAAAGTGGTTCGGTTTCAATAGTTTTTACTTGGCTTTCTTGATTTTTCTTTACTATTCTTTGGGTTGGGCTTGGTTTGAGTTTGGATTGGTTTTAGACCGGTAATTCTAGATGATGATAATAATAATAATAATAACAGTAACAAAAATAATAAAACAATATGTATAACTATAATATAAGACACAGAATAACTAAATTTACTAATTTATTTATTTATTTATTAATGGAATTTATGCCCAGTACATTTTTTCTTTTCGGCTTATTTCGGTCCAGCCTCCAACCAATATTCTTATTTAAAAATGAATACATGTATTAACCATACTATTGAAAAAACCGTGACTATTGGATCAAAACTCTCTAATTAATTTCAACTTTAATTCTACATTGCACATATTAATGGAATTTTTGGAAGAGATTCTTTGGTTTTCATTAATGGAATTTGATTATTATTATAAATAAATATATATTATATATATATCAACAAAACCCCCCACCATTCTCATAAATATTATATTGGGACAGAAGTCATTAAGCAATGCATTCACATTTTAAAACTGGAAAAAAAAAAAAAAAAAAAGGAAAAAGGATTTGAAAAAGTGATGAATCGGTTGCATATACAGAGACCGATGCATATACAGAGACACAAAGAAAGGTGCAATAAATATCATCACCATCTTTATTTATCATTGAAGTATTATATGCAAATCCAACTTTTGTAACATTATAAAATTATATATTATTTAGAGACAAAAGAAATTTATTTAAGTAGTATTTGATAAAAAATGACGTGTTTAATGTTAATCATTGACTAATATAAGAAATAAAATTAAAGATAGTTTATGTATAATTGACATGTGAAAACATGTGATAGGAAGTTATTGGAGCAAGCTCACATATAAATATATCACAACAAACACCAAAAAAGAACCAGGAAAAAAAATGGTTTCTCCATCTCTGCTTTTATGGTTACTTCCGCTTCTTCTTGCTTTATTTCTTGTTTTAGGAGGACTAGGAACTAAGAGAAAAGGCAAGAAGAAGGCAAGAACCTCCCTCCTTGTCCTCCTAGACTTCCAATAAAGCAATTATACACCAACTTTGGGCCTTACCTCATTTATTTCTTTATAGGCAAACTATCCAAGAAATGATGGTCCTGTGATGCTTCCTGCCAATTTTGGTCCAATTTGGTCGAGTTCCTACAGTTATTATCTCCTCTGCAGAAGCTGCAAAAGAGCTCTTTAAAGCAAATGACCTCAATAGTTGCAGCAGACCTCGCTTGGCTGGTACTGGAAGGCTATCTTACGGCTATCTTGATATAGCTTTTACACCATATGGAGATTACTGGAGAGAAATAAGAAAGATTTGTGTACTTCAACTTTTTAGCGCTAAAAGAGTTCAATCATTCCAGTCCATTAGAGAAGAAGAAGTGGGTTTTTTAATTGATTCGATTTTAAAATCTTCTTCAGCCTCTTCTTCTCCTGTTGATCTAAGTGAAAAGACTTTGTCTCTTACTGCAAATGTTACTTGTAGAGTAGCTTTTGGGGAAAGTTTTCAAGAAAGAGGATTTGCCCATGAAAGATTTCAAGAAGTGATTCAAGAGTGATTCATGAAGGGTGGCTATGTTAGGGAGGTTTTTCTGCACTAGATTTTTTTCCTTTATGTGGGTCAGCTGATTTTTTTCCTTAAAGAAAAATTAAGCTTAATTTTTCGGGTATTCTTGAATAAAGAGTTGTGAGTGTATGTAAACACTGTATTTATTTTTCTCCTATAAAAGATCTGTGGCAGTCCGGAGACGTAGGCAAGATTGGCCGAACTCCGTTATCAAATTGTGTGTTATTTTCTGATTTATTAGGGATTTTTTGCGTAATTTTTTCCCAACAGAATTCAATTCTCTCAAAATCATATCAAAGCAATTCTCATGGTAATATTCTTACTGATCCTTAAAATTTGACACTACTATTATAGTTCAATAAGTTAGAAATTTGAATCTTGATAATTTCTCATTTTGAATTTACAATTCTAGTTCTTAATTTTGGCACTCTTGGAATAATTCAATTTAACATTATATATCAGAATATATTTATCGCTGGAGTGGACACTGGAGCAATAGTCTTAGTCTGGGCCATGGCAGAACTTGTTAGAAATCCTCCTAGAAGTAATGAGAAAAAAGCACAAGAAGAATAAATCAGAACTCTTCTTGAAACAAAAAAGAAAAGTATCTAGAAAGTAGACATTGAAAGCTTGATACCTAAAATGGTATTGAAGGAAAAAATGAGATTTGCACCCTACAGGAAACACTGTTGATACCAAGAGATACCATATATGAGTCACAGCATTCAGCATCAATGGCTATTTGAAATATCCAAAACTCAAATCCAGGTAAATGTGTGGGCGATTAGAAAGAGGACCCTTAAAACTTGGAAGAAAAAAATCCTGAAGAATTCTTTTTCCGAAAGATTATAGATAAATTCAATTGATTTTAGAGTCAGAAATTATGAATCAGTTACCATTGGAGGTGGGCAGGAGAGGCGTCCTGGTAATCATAATGGGATTGGCTATTGGTGGAGCGTGATGCACTTTGCAAACCTTTTGTTTGTATGTGATTGGGAGTTGCCTAACAATAGAGGCACAGATTCATATGAGAGCATATTTGTCTTACTGCTATAAGAAAGAGCTTTAATGCTATGTACAAATTAAACTATTCAACTCATTTAGAATAACGAATAGCCAATTAAATATCAACTCATTTAGAATAACAAATAGATGTCTCAACTGCATCGACTTGAGAAATTATAGCTCCGTCTGCCACGTCAGTTATAGACCCATAAAATGAAATTAAATTACATCAACAATTTATTTTTTTAGCTTATTTTCTGTTAATTTTTTCACGTTTCCAGTTTAGTTAGAGATAGAAAACGTAGTTGTGTTGCTTTTTACTGATGTGATACTAGAAAAATGCAAATTATTGATGTTGTTTTATTTCATTGGATGGATTTATAGCTGATGTAGTAGATGAGTGTATGTAAGAATTTCTCCTGGCGTATTGCTTTTAGCCCAATATTATTGTCTAGTCTTTCTCTTATATATAAGAATAGAACCTTCAAAATTGACATGGCACAAAATTAGAGCTTTGAAGTGCTCATTTGCATTTTTTCTTTTTGCATTTTTAATTCATTGTTTTATTATATAACTATTAATTATTCTCATTTATCAATACAAAGTGGGAAATTTATATTTGTAATAGCCTTTGTTTTGTATTCTTGGCAATCAATCATTTGCCTTAAATGTGAATGAATATTTCATAAATACAGTATGCAAAAATAGTGTAAATAATTCCTTTTCGCAACATAAATAAATAAATCATTCCTCCATTTCTTTTCTCTCTTTCCTCCTCTAGGAGAGGAAGCTACCGAAAACCAATAACAATACGGCAGAGGAAAATAATAGAAGCTTCTATCACAATTTATGATCGAAGTTTTCTAACATGCCACACTATTTATATTTGCATGAAATTTGGTGAACTTATTGGTTCACAAATCCTACCAAAGTAATACTTTCTTTTAATGAAAGAAATCAACTAATAAGATCTCTTTGCCTTTTTTTTTATTAATTATTATAACATTTGTGATTTTGTTTTATTATTATTTTTACAAATAATGAAAGATCTTTCAAGATTATTAGTTGATTTATTTGATTAGTTTTTAGTTTTTATCTATTTTATTTACTATGTTTGTGTATGAATTGGACATTTGGCATGGTTAAATTTGGGTTGTCAACCGGTTTTTTTTGTATCTTTTTGTTTAATTTTCTTCTAAAATGTAGATTCTCACACGTTAGTGAAATAATGTCCTTGATATATTGATTCACATCTGGTGCACTCGGATTTAGACTCAAAGAACAAATAATTAGCAAATACTCTTTTTATTTTATTATGGGAGTGCTAGATCTATATTTATAAATAAATATGAAATTTTTTTTCTAAATTCAAGAAAAAAAATAATGAAATTTTGACACTTTATTTCTCTTTTTTTATTGATTACTTAGGTGAGTCTTGAAGAATGATAGGACTAATAACAAAATATTATAATCCACACATCGCGCGAGCACGTGACTAGTAAATATATAATTTTTAAGGTATAAATGCTTACGTGGCAACATATTAGAGTATGAAACTAATGATGTGCCATTTTTTTTTTCATTATAATTAATTTTTTTTAAATTTAATAAAATCAAAAAGTTTTTTTTATTAAATAATGGAGTTACAAACTAATAAATCTTAATTAATAATACTAATAAATCTTAATTAATAATTTTTTACATTTAATAAATATTAAGTTTTTTTATTAAATAGTGATAGATTTAGAAAAAATCTATCCATAACGCCCATGTTGAAATCTACAAGATATGAACAAAAAGGGGAGAGAAAAGAGAGGCCTTAAACCTGTAACCTGCTTAAGTTAATAAAAGAATAATAAATAGTTATAATTGAATGAGATATCGTGTTATCTATTGCATAAATATTGCATAGATATTGGCACCTGAGTAGCGTGTTTATCACTTTATATATGAATATGGCGTCATTTTATTTAGACCGAGTTCAAATACAGAAAATGAATCCAAAAAATCAACTCCAAATAAGCAATCAATCAAACTCAATTAGTTCAACTACAACAAAACTTTAAGCAATTTCAATTTCAATTTCTTTCCAGTTCATTATATTTTCTTTCCAAATTACTCTGTCACAATTGCAATCCTTGTAAAAATAGTATTTTTAATTCAATCAATCTCTTTTCTCTGTAAAATGTTCATGCAATCTCTATTTTTCTGTATGATTTTTTTAATTTTAGCCGTTAATGAATCCAATAATTAGGAGTTTATATAGCGCATTTATTTCTATACTTAATAAACTTTGATAACTGGCACCAAATATTTAAATAACTTTTAAAAAACCTTAACTTTTTCTTTTTAATATGAGGTATTAAGGCTAGTATCCATTTTAACGGTCTATAAATTTGAGTAATCCTTGCTTGCTTTTAGAGGCAAAAGGGATAATTAGCCCGGAGAGAGTTTGTGTTGCGCAAGATCAAACCTATAATTTAAGTTATAGTGATCGACCCTGTAAATGCTCAATGGTACTCAGCTATCCCATTTTGCTTAAAACCTTAACTGTTTTTACAATGCAAATGAAAGTCATTATTATGCTTGCTTCTACTATTGCTAGTCAAAAGTGAAGAGATAATGGACCTACCCAAGGGCATTTTCTTTAATTTACAAAAATTAAATTGTTTTCTAGACCTATTTAATAGAAAAGACAGGCCATCTACCACCATGAATTAATAAATTATGCGTAAATATTATTTCTTAATTCTAATAAAGACCTTTAAATAGTTAACAAATTTGATTTTTCTCAAAAAAAAAAAAAAATCATTCGACATTTTTAAAATTTGAAAATTGAGGTCCTTATCTAATGTAAATTTCACCAAGTCTAAGGAATAAACGACACAACAATAACTTTTAGAGGTCACTTTCAACATTTAAAAATCACTCAAACGGGAGCCAACAGATTAATCGTTTACTAATATACAGACTAAATTAGTATAATTAAAAAAAATTGAGTCTTGTATTTAAAGTACCATTAGTACAATTGAGCAAAATCTAAAAACTATAAGGTGATTACTCCTTTTAAATATTAATGAAATAATATAATCTTTTATTTGATAAAAAAAATATTTATTTAATAAATAGAAAATTGTGAGCCAAATAAAACACTGGTATTGTAAGTCAAATTATTCACATGCTGATTAATTTTCACATTTGGTTTTAACTTCCTTCTAATATTGAAACTCTTCTTGTTTTAGATATTACTCATTAATGAAATCTTTCTCTTCCTTCTTCAAAAGGAAAAAAGAAAAAAGAAAAAAGAAAAAATTAAACACCATTTTCTACTTCAAAATAAAATTCACTAATAAGTTAAATTAAACACCATTTTCAAAAGAAAAAATACTGATACGGATCCACTATCACCAAACACCTATGGAGGTCAAGGGAACAAGGACCACAACAATGGCAATCCATTAGTACTTCCTAGTGGACCAATTAGTACTTCTAGTGGACCAATCACAAGAGCCTGCAAAAGAGTATGGAGCTCCATGTCCCTTATACATTCAAGACCAAATCACACAAAACTCATGATCTTGCTTCAACAAGTGCTATGGAAGACTTGAAGGAACACCTAAAGTTTCCTCATTAGATGGAAGCAACATGTTGATTGAACCTGAAATTTCAACACATGACGTGCCTAGACCATGCTTATGGTTTTGGCACGCCCGTGCAAGTGGCACGCCCCAGGGCCGTTGCAAGCTTCTGCCTGCTCAAGACTACACTTGATTTTTTGAAGCACGGCCCGTCTCCAACTAGCACGCCTCGGGACCGTGCACTCTTCTGTGCCTGCTCGCCGATGGGAAAACTCCTGCCTCTCGCGAGGGAAACTCATACATGCGCGCACGCCCGTGCCAACTAGCACGCCCTAAACCGTGCACTCCTCTGCCTCTCGCGAAGGAAGCTTTACATTGAAGCACGCCCGTGTGCATTGGCACGCCCTAG